ACCACTGGGCCACCAGGGAAGTCCTAATCTTTTTCACTGACTGTATTGTTGACCTATAATATGTAATGCACTAGAGGTAGTGATGTGGTATTAAGAACAGGGACTCCTGAGATTGGATTCCTGGTTCAAATCTGAGCTCTGCCACTTCCTGCCTGTCTGACCTTGAGCATCTCACTTATCTCAATTTCTTTTCTTTAAAATATTTACTAGCATTGTTATGAGGAATAATTAGATATTACACAAAGAACAGTACCTGGCACATAGTAACATTTGCTGAGGACTATTATATTGTGGCCATTTTATTCTACAACTTGACTTTTTAATGGCTTTAAGGTGCCCACTGGGTTTTCTGTTTTAAGGGCTGAGAAAGCTTAATGTCTGTTAAGAAACTCACCAGCTCTTTTGGTTCCATTGATCTTCAGCTCTGTTTCAGGAGCTTGTTTTTCTTAAGCCTTTAAACAACACCTAAATCTCTTTCATTCAGAATTGCAATTTGTAAATGTTAGCACCTCATTGTCTTTGGTCAACGTTTAACCTCTATCTTTAACAGATTACATCTTTTTAAACATTGAAACCCACATATAAAACTTAGATAAGTTTCCTTAATTTTTAAACTACATTTACATGTTTAATACATCTTATCTTCTTAACCACTGCAAATGCACAAGGAGGCCAACATACAGATTTAACAAGCAAAGCATTTCTAAGCCCGTCAGCTGGAGCTCATGTCTGCATTTAACCTCTTCTGTGGGATGCTGTCCGTGAGCTTCAGATCAGACCTGGGAGTGAGTCACGAGTCTCACACTTGCACCTTTTCTTCGAGCCTTGAACCTCTGTCACGTGGCCCCTTTCCTATTTTGTTGGTAAACCATAACCTCTGATATGAATTACTGAGGTCCTATACCTCCTATTCATATCTAAGTCTGTACTTAATTGGATACTGCATCCTTCTTATAGTATTAATATACTTGCCTCACAATTCTGTAGTTACTATATCAAAATAGAGTATTAACATGGCTATAATTTATTTAATCCCCTGTTGTTGGATATTAGGCTGTTTCCAATTTGCTCTTATAAATAACTGTGTTGAAAGCATATTTGTAGAAACATTTTGTGTACATCCCTATTTCCTTGGGATAAATTCCCAAAATAGAATAACTGGGTACCATTACCCCAATATTGGTTGTATAATGTAGTCTAATATCTACTGGTACAAAACTTCTACTGCTGCCCCCATTTTCACTCCCTGATGAACCTTAGAATCATTTTTTGTCAAATTACAGGAAAAATACTATTGGCATTATTAAGAGAAAATGACTAATGTTGTATACTAATATGGTAAGATCAAACCCTTTATGGTATCATAGAGGTGAAATAAAACATAGAAGCAAAATTATGTATTTTCTTGTAATTTGACAGAAAGATCCTGAAGTTCCCTTAGGGGTGAAAAGTGGAGGATTTTTTCCACTGGATATTAGAACACATATTACACAGCTAAAATAGTGATATTGGCATTGAAAGAGCACAGCTATGTACATACTTCTGTTCCTACTACTGAGTACTTTCTCTCCCCCAAATCAAGTGGATACTGAATTTTATCAACTGCCTTTTTTAACTTCACTCAAGGTGATCGTATCTTTTCTGTTTACATTTCTCTTTTGTATTTAATAAAGTACAAATTAGTCATTTCCTAATTTGAAACCTTCCTTGTATTTCTGGAGTAGATCATACTTAGTTCTTAAAAACAAAAACAAAACCTAGTAAAACAGTATCATTGTACTATAAGTTTCAGAGTTTCACAGTTGCCTTCAAAAGAAAGATTAATCTATAGAGATATTGAACTTTTAAAATATTATCTAGACTAACTTCCAGTATATTGCAATGTAAGAGAACTTGGAAATCTTTTCGTCTGCTTTGTGCTCTGACAGAGTACCCTGAACAAGTGACCTAATGGGATTGCCATCCCTCAAGAGGAACTATTGTGGCTTTTGTCACTTTCCAGATCCTTACTGGTAGGAAAGTCTCACCATAGGAATGAGTATGTTGTAATCATCATCTTGATGATAAACATTGCATCTCAAGATTGGCTGACACATGATGAATGTGCTTTGTATACTTAATCCTCTTGATGAAACCCCAAGGAAAATATCAATGCCGCCACTAATGTTGATAAATGAGCTTTGTACTCACAGAGTGCATTGCTCCCAGGAGCACAAAGCTCTTCAGGATTAATTATTTCAGTCATTCTCACAGTTGTCCCAGGAGGTGGATAGCTGAACGCTTCCTCTTTAAAAAAAAAAAAAAAAAGTAACTGTTTTCTTCTGTTCTACATTCTGTATTCTAGAACTAGGTAGCTACCTTTTTAAAGACCATCTGTATGTCCGCTGGTGGACTTGGGTTTCAAAATCAACAAGATTCTTTCCCCTATAGACACCAGGCTCAGAGCAGATGTGTAGTAGTAAAGTTGGACGGAATTTGGATAATAGTTTGGCAAGATGCTATATGAGTGGTGTAGCCTGAGGTTGGTAACGAGAGACAGGCAATGGCTGAGTTAGTGCTCTGGTACCTCCATTAGAAGTAGTTGTCCATGGTGTTGAAGGTTTGTTTTTGAAACTGCCTTACTCAGGCACCTGTTCATTATACTTGTCCTACAACACCGAGCTAGGGCACTATAGAGAATCTCTGTCAGTTTTCTTTCACAGAGAGGGGCCCTGGTCCTTTCTCACCCTGCTCTGATGCATTAGTATCTGGGGGCTTTTTACAGGGGCAGAACAGTAGAAAGGTGAGAGGCCCAAAATTTTTGGTACTGCCTCTTAGCCAATCTCCATCTCTTCTGTTTCCTGCCAGACTAACTTTCCTCTTGCTTTCGCTTCCTCGGAAATGGACAGTGACTTTCTGTGGACACTTCTTTAGGGATACAGCTAAGGCTACAGTTTTTCTTTTTTTTTGTTTGCGGTACGCGGGCCTCTCACTGTTGTGGCCTCTCCCGTTGCGGAGCACAGGCTCCGGACACGCAGGCTCAGCGGCCATGGCTCACGGGCCCAGATGCTCCGCGGCATGTGGGATCTTCCCGGACCGGGGCACGAACCCGCGTCCCCTGCATCGGCAGGCGGACTCTCAACCACTGCGCCACCGGGGAAGCCCTAAGGCTACGTTTAGATCTAGCGATCCACCTCATCCTTCTTTGTCTTAACAATATGCCAGTCAGTCTTCTCCACAGTTTTGCTATTTTAGTTCCGTCTCTTCAGCTAAACTTTAAGCTCTTTGGGTGAATGTTCAGGTCAGTGTTTGTTTGTATTTTTTCTTCAGACTCTTTTTAACTGCACCCGCATATTCCTCAGTGCTGGGATATTTAGGTGCACAATAAACATTTTGTGGTTGATCATCTAGTTGCCATTCACAACTGATAAGAAATATTGCTTGTCCATACTGACTGTGCCATTTTAACTTTGTTTTTCTCCTTTTTCTTTTGTTAAACAAAGGCTTAGCTGTCACCACTTTGAGTTTTTCCTCCTCCCTATTTTTCTCCCCTGAAGTTGCCCTGAAGGGGAGGTCTTTAAAACACCAAGGATTGTGCTTCAGTTGTGCCGTGCACTCTGGGTGGGGACTAATTACCAGGTCTGAAAACTTCTTCAGGCGGCTGGGTTCTGGATGGGCCGAAAATACTGCTTTTTCCTAAATTGACAACAGCTGGGGCCGTGTTGCTGGCACATATAAAAGAGGTGGTGCTGGTGCTGTGTTGTGGAGAAATCTTCACTCTTTAGAGCCTGTGGAGCTTTAAGCAGAGGGCACCTTTCATCACTGGTGTCGTGGTGGGTAAGTGCCCCGAGCTGGTCCTCTGGGTCCGCGTTTCTGTTGTTTGGTAGAAATTGTGGTGACTGTATCGAAATGTTGTCAGTTACTAATTTACCATGTTAGTTGTAGTGAATTATTTTATCTTTCCAGTAATGAGTAGAATTTCTCCCTAAATGGGCATAGCTAATAAGGCTTTGCGTATCTTTTCACTGTGTTATTTTGAAGGCTGTCAGCTTTCCTTCTGTGTGGTGTGCATCTCTGAATATAAAAGGATAAACAGAGGTAGTGCCATTTAAAGTATCTTGAATGCATAGTTCTTGAATATGTTCTGAAAAGTAGTCACTTAAAAAGATTCCAGTTTTTAATATGAAAGTAGAAAGCTGACCATTTTGACAAATGCAGAGAATAACAGTTATTCTATGCATGTAAGCAATTCATCACAGTTTTTTATCCTTTAAGGTTCATAGAAAAGACCCAGGAATGATGTGATCTCTGGGTGGGTTCTAGCTTATTATGACTTCATGGTCTGCAACAAGTGATAGTGTCTGATGAAGTGTTTGCAGTGCTGGGTCCTGACTTTTATTTATAGAAATTTAAAAGGAATTGTTTATTAAAATTTTCCTATTTATACTGACATCAGCTCAAAAAGAGAAGAATTCCAAGATGAAACAATTCAATGTTTTATTTATTTATTTTAAAATTTTATTTATTTATTTTTGCCTGTGTTGGGTCTTTGTTGCTGCGTGTGGACTTTCTCTAGTTGTGGCGAGTGGTGGCTACTCTTCATTGTGGTGTGCGGACTTCTCATTGTGGTGGCTTGCGGAGCATGGGCTCTAGGCACACAGGCTTCAGTAGTTGTGGCACACGGGCTCTGTAGTTGTGGCTCATGGGCTCTAGAGCAAAGGCTGAGTAGTTGTGGCACACGGGCTTTGTTGCTCCGCGGCATGTGGGATCTTCCCAGACCAGGGCTTGAACCCACGGCCCCTGCATTGGCAGGTGGATTCTAAACCACTGCGCCACAAGGGAAGTCCCTCAGTGTTTTATAAATAAACATCGTCTCAGCAGCTTTAACTATGTTCTGATGATACCTTTATAAAGCAAATGGCTTTGGTATTTGTTTCCTTATTTTGATAATGTTTTTGTTTTGGATGCTTGACAACTGGACAAGCACAGTTTCTGAACATAGTTCTGTTTTGTTTTTACAGGTGGGATAGTAACACCTTTGGGGGAAAGAAAATTGGCTTCCTTTCCTGAAAACGGTGAATGTACAGCAGATGGTTGCCCAGGAGGAACAGTAGTCCAATGGAGACCCTCTATGTTTTGTACTAGGAAACAGAATCAGTTGTAAGAGTCCATGTTGATCTTGGCAGTAGAAGGATTAAAAGAAGTTGAGTTTCCACAAAGAACAAGAACTTTACCATCTCCTTTTTGATCTGAAGACCGGAGGACAATGGATATCATAGAGACGGCAAAACTTGAGGAACATATGGAAAACCAAACCAACGATCCTGCGAACACTTACGCAAGACCTGCTGAACCTGTTGATGAAGAGAACAAAAATGGCAATGGGAAAACTAAGAGTTTATCCAATGGGTTGCGAAAGGGCACCAAAAAGTACCCGGACTATATCCAAATCGCTATGCCCACGGAATCGAGGAACAAGTTTCCCCTAGAGTGGTGGAAAACGGGCATTGCCTTCGTGTACGCTCTTTTCAACCTCGTCCTGACAACCGTCATGATCACGGTTGTGCACGAGAGGGTCCCTCCCAAGGAGCTCAGCCCTCCACTCCCAGACAAGTTTTTTGATTACATAGACCGGGTGAAATGGGCATTTTCTGTATCAGAAATAAACGGAATTATATTAGTTGGACTATGGATCACCCAGTGGCTATTTTTGAGATACAAGTAAGTAAGGTCTAACGTGTTTTGGGGATTTGCCATGAGTTTATATTTTAGTGAGCTGGTGTGGAATTGAAATGATCTTTCTCGGTTTTATCTGATAAATTCAGTCTTATCCAGGCACTTAATGAAAAGAATCAATAGAAAGATCTACAGCCTTGAGTAAATCCAGTCATTATTCCATAAGCATTTATTGAGCAGCTGTATGAAAGTGGCAACTGTGTGTGAAGGTGCAGAGGTACACTGTGGTGGATGATTCAGACTTTGTAAATCGAAGGTGCAGTTCTAATTTCAAGCAGCTTGGCACTATGGTATTTGCATGATACATTAAGAGCCTTGGAAAGGAATAACATTCACTTCATCGTGCTTGTGTTATTCCAGGTTCTTGACAGGTGGGGAAAGTTGTAGGCTGGGAAGTTTTTTCTCTATTACTCATAATGTGATGACTATATTGGTCTATAGTCAATTGCAGCCTTTGAGGTTTGCCTCTCTTCAAGAGTTCTCGAATTTTACATGCCTTTTCCTTTTGCCTTTTGGCAATCCAGCCACAAGAGTTTGTTTAACAAACTGCATTTGGAACTGGGTCCATGTGGTTTGGGTTTTAGATTTCTAAAGTAAAAGTGCCTTCTGGTTTCCTCAAGCCATCACAAAGGAGCACTTAGTTCATTGGTTTCAGTCTTCCCATTTTCGAATAGCAGGAATCAGGAAGTGTAGTAAGCCAGGTACTTTTGCTTTGAAGATACTTAAAAATAGGACACAGCTCTGAGGTGGTTATTTCTGCTTCCCTGTTGAATTCTGACTGCTACTCCATTAAGAAAAAAGGCCCCTCAATTCCCCTTTTCTCCTCAGCCATCATTCAGATGCTTTTTCTCTACTAAGATTCTAATAATTAAATCACAAATATAAGTTTAATTAAAACATTGCCCATAAACGGAGGCTTTTGAAAGCGTAATACATGCTAACATAGTCAATACACTTCAGAGTCAAATAGGGTTTCAGTAGTAATGCCACAAGATCATTTTTTGAAGAAGGAATTTATGCTGTATTGTTCTTTCAGTTGGTTGTTGCTTTGAGATTTGAAGAGTTCAGTCTATTTTTGTTAAAGAGTTCCCCACATGCAGGTGTGCAGGTTTGAACATTTATTCCACAAACTGAAGTCATTCCTAAGCATTTTCTTTAAAATAGTTCTCTTAATAATGTGTAAGTAAAAGACATAGCTGTCAATTGTCTTTTACTTAGGGGAACTTTATGCTAAAGTTGTTAGTTATAACGTGCTTTATGCTAAAAGCAAATGGTGTAGCTGTTGAACTTTAGCGTTTTCCTTTTTAGTGTCTGGAATTGACACTGAATATAAGAGAGACTGCTCAGGCCAAAGATATTTGCTCTCTCCTTTGTTTTAGAGCAAAGTTTTATTTGTATATGTGTGTGGAAGAGAAATTTCCCAGGGCCAGGTAAGTAGCTCGCTTCCAGCCTGCAGTACAGTCTCGGTGTATTTGCATCTTCACGTAGAGGACAGTTGTTACCTGTCTCTCCAGTGCCAACTTCGGTTTTACCGTGTCAAAACTTGTTTTCACACAGGCCAGCTGCATGTTTTAATGATAGCCACTGTTTGGGTCACAATCCACCAGCAAAAACTTGGGGAAATCACACTAATTTTCCTTTTTACTTTTCATATAGAATTGGATCTTATATTTTAGTAACTGGTAGAGTAATTTTTATAACCCGTTTTGAACACTCCAGCTGAATAAGAAATAAGAAATAGTTGTTCTCTCTCTTTCACTCTCACTCTCTCACTTAAAACACCTTTAAAGCTATGGGGGAAAAAAAAAAATCACTGGCAGTAGTTTTTTAAATAAGGCTGCAGAGTGCATGTTTCACCTCTTAAGTTAATTTTCTGTTCTGAGTACAGCTGAACTCTGAATACTGGAATAAATATAATTGACCCATAATAATTCCTGCTTATTACTTCACCTTGTCTAACAGCATGGAGCACAATTCAGCACTCTTTTTGAACCTGGGTTTGAATCAAAGGGAGAATAGATTTTCACTTAACCAAATGGAAGCACTCAGCAATGTTCATTACCTGTTCCTTTTCAGTACTAGAAAAGGCAGGGCTAGAATAGCAAGCCTTTGAAAGAAATGCCTTGCAAGAAATAGATACTTTCATCAACTAGTCAAGGTGTTTCTCTCTATATTTTGACCCCAGAAACCCTGGAATCTCCTTAAAATAGCTCTTGGATACAGGCAGCTAAAATTATATTTGTACATGATTCTTTAGAAGTCCCAACAGTAACCTGAATTAGACCTTGATCCATGGCAGACCGCAGTCTTGGAGAAAACTTAAAATATTCCACATGCCTAAAATTGCCTGTTTTTCCAGAGGTTTTTGATCACTGGTTTTGGAAGTTTGAGAGCTCTGAAAATGGGAGACCTGGAGTAACATATTTTATGTACTAGGGAAGTTACAACTAGTAATTCTAGGGGCTTTGTGGATCCCAGCCATCTTTATAGAGCCCAGAGTTTATAGGTCCACCTCTAACTACACAACAGAGTCATCTTCAGAATTCTTGATGCCCATTCAGGTACCCAAGAGACAGTGGTGCAGATGGGCAGAACCCTTCCCTTTGGAGGACAGTGTGCTCAAAGCCAGCTTCTGGGAACCACTGCCTTAGACTGACGACTTAGGGGGCAAAGGACAGGGACTAATGTTAGTCAAGACAACTGTCTTCACCAAAACATATAAAGTGAAAAAGGACTTGTGGGATTCTTTTTTTTTTTTTTTTTTTTTTTTTTATAACCTCTTCTGATCAAGATTGCATAACATCAGGGTAAACTAATCAGTTTACAGCTTCACTCTTAAATGCCCTTAAATGCACGAGGACACTTTGAACATCTTCAAAATATAATTCTCTGAAAATCTCTATAGTCATAGACGAAATAGTTCATGCGTAAGTTGTCAGAATATTTTTGGATAGTCTCCAAATAAACCTTGCTTATATAACTTAGGTTAAAAGAGTTGTCCCATTTCCCTGTGTGCCCAATTATGTCGTATCACCTTAGCTCATTAGTTAATTCCTCTGTGACCGTGGCTCGCTTATACCTCTGCTGTGTTCTCAAGAGAGGGTTTATTAATGCAGTGAGTTGACTGACAACGTAGAGAGGTTCATTGAATTCTCTGGCAAAAAGGGCCTTTTTTAGGAGCGGTAGTTGTGTAAAACCCTTAATCTACTTTAACACCCCCTCTCCCCAGAGACTCATTCCTTTGGGGCCCAACCCACCTAGATTAATTGCAGTATGTGAATCATCAGTTCTGAAAACTGCAATTATTCTTTATTCTGTTAAACATTATTTTATGTTGCCTTAGGAGCAAAAAACCCCAGTAAACCTATTTTTCCCCATCTCTGTTTTTCCTTTAGGTCAATAGTGGGGCGCAGATTCTTTTTTATCATTGGAACTTTGTACCTGTATCGCTGTATCACGATGTACGTTACTACTCTCCCTGTGCCTGGAATGCATTTCCAGTGTGCTCCAAAGGTAAGCCCCTCTGAATTACCATTTAGAGGACATTAAGCAAACAGTGCTTGAACACCTGCTCTCTGTTATGCATTCTCCTAGACACGTTCATATATGTTAATTGAAATCTAGCATATTTTGTTTTGCTTTAGATTTTGAGGGGAAACATTAAAATGTGTTCATAGAACTTATATGTTTGTGCATAAAAATGCATTTTCTGCTAACTGGAAGTTACTATTGGGTCTTTGACTCTGCATTTTTGCCTTCTCATTTACTCATTCATGAATTCATTTTGCAAGTATTAAGCTCCTGTTATATACCAGGCACAAAGTTCTCCTCCTCCGGGAACGCATATTCTTTTTTTTTTTCTTTCTTTTTTTTTGCGGTACGCGGGCCTCTCACTGCTGCGGCCTCTCCCGCTGCGGAGCGCAGGCTCCGGACGCGCATGCTCAGCGGCCATGGCTCACGGGCCCAGCCGCTCCGCGGCGTGTGGGATCCTCCCGGACCGGAGCACGAACCCGTGTCCCCTGCATCGGCACGCGCACTCTCAACCACTGCGCCACCAGGGAAGCCCTTAGAGAACGTATATTCTTATTGAAGGATGGCGACAGTTAAATGAAGTCATAACTTGTTACATGGTGGTAAGTCAGGTGGCTATCAGATGGAGAACAGTAAAGCTGAGTAAGGGTGAAAGGGTCTATGAGGGTAGGTACTAATTTATAGAGTGGTCAGGAAAACTTCAATAAGAAAGCTTCTGGGCAGCCAAGATGAGGGAGTGAGCCGTGTGAATGGGGTGAGAACTCCAGGACAAGGAAATAACTTAATCATAGTGCATTCGGGGAAGAACAGGGAGACACGTGTGGCTGCATAGAGTTATGAAGAGTTGAGATGATGCAGCCACAGATCTCACAGGGCCTCTGTGCCCATTGTAGGAACTTGAACCTTGGTGGTGGCAGTGGAAATGAGGAGAAGCCGTTTGACTCGGGATATATTTTGAAGGTAGAGCCCACAGGATGTGCTCATAAGTTGGATATGGGTTTAAGAGAAAGAAGTCAAGGATGACCTCAAAGTTTTTAGCAACTGGAAGGATCGAGTGGCCTTTCACTTAGATAGAGTGTGAGAATGGATACTGAAACTGTTGTAAGCAGGATTTATAGTTTCTCCAGGTAGAGTCATTTCTCAAGAGAGCTGTTAATCATCTTAGACCCCAGTGTGCCCTGGTTTAAAAAGTAAACTTACAAATCATGTGCTTTCTGGGCAAGAGAATGCAGTCTATCATATTTAACCGAACACTAAGCAAATGTCCAAGGTGGAAGGAAAAATAGAGTTGTTCTGAAGAAGTCAACAGTCTCCTTCACCAAATAAAGGTGTGGTTTGGAGAAGCTATAATTTTCCAAAGCCATCAAAGCAGAAAGTGTCTGTAATTAAAAGTGTACATATTGAATTGACTGATTTTTTAGTGAAACTAATTTAAGTCATGGGAGAAGTTCAGAAGCATAATAAACACTCCTAAGGGGTTATTGCAATGGGTTAAATAAAGAAATGGCCACAGGAAAGAAGGCAAGCCCATCCTAGTAACGGGTGAGGTTTGCAGCGATAAATTGCTATGATTACAGAAAGCATGTAAAGATTATCTTCTGTGGAAAAGTTGCAATTTTCAGAAGCCACAAGAGCAAATGTACTGCTGGATAACCAAGCTACAGATGTTCACAGTGGAAGCTCTGGGAACAGCCCCTGTGTTCAGATGTCAAGACCTAAGACCTTTTCCTGAAGCATCAGCAGGCTACTGGTGCCTGGATCGTGGTTCAGTAAAACAAACACAAATCAATTTGTTTCAATAGAGGTGATGTGGTCTTATAGAGCAAGAGGCAGAATTGCATTCTAAATGTGGTTCAGCCGCTGGCTTTGAGTGTTGCTTAGATTTTTGTGGTTTCAAAACTATTAGATAATCTACCTGTCTCCTTTGTTGCTGACTCTATAGAATGCCCTTAGTGACTGATAGCAATGACAGAACTGTGTATACTGAAGCCACTTGCTGTGGAAGGTTATCTGACTAGTCACTGATGCCTCACATCACTTGTTACTTAGTGGATGTGATCACAGAAGCCATCACAGTGATAGGCCCTTAGTGAAATCCTTGGATCTCACAGTTTTCCAGTTGTCTTCCCCCTTCTCTATCCTATGGTTTACTTTAAGTCCTTGGCTTAACGATTTGCTTCATCCCACACACCCATGTTTTAGTTTGCAGCTGCAAAATTTGAGTTCTGAAAATTGTGTTTAAATAGATATTGACCTAGTTATTAGAACTCACATGAGATAACTTAGCTTCTCAAACCCCTTTTGCCACAGGAATGTTGGGCTGGCACAGCTACATTCCTTTCCGTGAGAAAGCTTCCCTCTCATCCTGGCCATAGAGGTCCAAAGGACTTCTCTTCTAAATTGAAGGGATGGTGTGGATGGTAAGGTTCCTGGTTTGGCAGCAGCCAAGTTGGGCTCTCTTGTACCTAATTTATTTTTGTGGGAAATGTTGTGTGGAGGTCATAGTTTGAGGAACCCTTGAGAACACTGAGCTCTGTCTGTTTTGGCTATTATGGTCAATGCTTCTCTTCCTGGTTTTCTACATCTTCAGCTTCATATCCAGGAATGGCATAGAATGGGTCTGAAAAATGAGGAAATTAAGAGGAACTAGAGTCTTTAGTGGTGTGTGATAGAGGGCCTCAATGAAATAGAACAGAACTAGAAAATAATCTGTTAATCCCAACTCTCACTATCACCCTCCCCCTCCCCAGTTTTCTTTCAGCCCTCTTTTAAAATTTCCTTTCTTGAAGTTCTGTTTAACATTTGTGCTGAGCATGATCTGACATCTTAAGATAGCAGTGACAGGACTGAGGAATTAAGAACTGAGAAAGTACAGAAAAAGCAAGAAGAGAGTCCTTCCTCTGTTCTGTGAAGGCATATGGAATCAAGGGGGGAGAAAAGAAAGGGGGGAGAAGAGAATGTGTGGCAGTATTTTAGTTCCTGGTTTAATTATGCCTTTTGATCCATCTAAATTTCTTTCTAGTAAAGAAATTTAAGTGTTTCTGCCCTTAGAAAATTCGAGTATTGAGTTGGGGTGGGTCAGTGGATAAAAAAATATTATTATAGTTTTGAAATGAATAATGTGTTCTTTAAACTGGGAACACAATGGTCAGGCGGAGTGTATGTACCTTTCTATTTGATCTCATTGTTGACAGTTGTTTGTACCAACCGCACAACCAGAAATTCCTGAAGGTCTGTGGCTGATCTGATAAAGCGCATGCTAGATTCTATCCTCCACATCAAGGGCTTTCATGTCATTTTATGTGGTTTGCAGTACGCCTTTCCTGAGGGGCACCTGAAGTGAGTCCTGCAACTCTGTCAACAGTCCTTATCTTCCCCGGGTATGGATCCTTTACTGCCTTCTAGACCCTGTCTTTTCAAGGCAGGGTCACCTGTTACTTGGCATTGGTTTAAGGACTCAATTCTTGATAAAATGCACATGTTCTCTTGGTTTTGCCAGCTGGGCTCGGCCTAAGCAAACTCTTGAAGAAAGTTGAGTTGCTTTGAAACCTCCAGTTTCTCACGCTGCCCTCTAATCCTGTTTCATGTCATTTTCTGCTGCAGAGCCTTATTCTCAACTATCGCCCGATCACGGTGTGTTTGCCTTTTTACAATGGTCACCAGAATACCAGAAAGCTTTCCAGATCCGTAAGATATTTTTAATCAGGAAAGTTTTAGGCAAGGAATCCTGCCGTAATTCCCATTTTACCATATAGGATGGTTTCCCACCTGCTTTGGAGACTCAATTTCTTACTCCTAGACTGTCTTCTCCTTCATCTGTACACATCTTACCCTCCTTCACCACTGCACATCTACTTGGACTAGACACTACCTGTCTACACCACCAAACAGTTTGCCACCATCATGACTGGCCTGGCCATGCTTCAGGGGCCAGTTGCCCAGAAGGATCATCTCTGAGTATGAAAAGCACTGTATCTTACAACTGTGCCCCCGGTCCCAAGTGAAAATAGTCATTAATGGTCTTTCTATATTTCTCTCCTTGTGTATACTCTGACTCCATTTTATTCCTGAGTGTCATTCTTTGATTTTCTAAACCTATTCACTTGCTGTTAGACTGATCGGAAACCCTCCATCCGGCCCCACAGTGTTTCAATATTCCATTTTCCCATGTATTCTATCTCAGTCCACTACTCCTTCCTGTATGCTTAAGGTTTGGGTTTTGGGGGGCGTTTTTTTTGGGGGGGGTTAATACAATTTTTAAAGGTTACACTCCATTTACATTTATTGCCAAATTATTGGCTCTATTCCCCGTGTTGTACAATGCATCCTTGAGCCGATCTCACACCCAGTAGTTTGTATCTCCCACCCCCTCACCCCTATATCACCCCTCTCCCTTCCCTCCCCACTGGTAACCACTGGTTTGTTCCCTATATCGGTGAGTCTGCTTCCTTTTTTGTTATTTTACTAGTTTGTTGTATTTTTCAGATTCCACATGTAAGTGATACCTCTATGCTTAAGTTTTAACGGGATATGAACTTGGGACTGTTGCCTCAAACTCCTGCCCTAACCCATCATTGTTCCCCATGTCATCACGACAACTTCTCGGGGCTTCTCCACCCTTGCCCAGGGAGCTCTCTCCTGACCTCCTGCCACAGCACACAGGTTATTGCTTTGGAGGATGTTTTTCGCGATCGAGCTACTCATTTTAAAGCTGCCAGTACATCCCTAACCCATCACTTTCAAGCCTGTTTAAATTAGTTAATGTATTGCAGCTCTTTTTAACTGTAAATGTTTTGATCAGATGTTAATACAGCTATATGCACACTTTAGGCTGCCCACCTAACACAAGGTGTGCATACACTGTAGAACGTTAGTGATGTGGAGTACAGCCGAATCAAGTATTAACCATCTGAAACCCCAGCCTCCCCCTGCAAAGAGGAAAGAATGGAGCTTTGATCTTTTTAGTCCATAACTGTGGTGAAGTCATTAGTTATTAGTATTTTGAAAAGCCTTGCCCAAGGACACACCACCACTAAAATGTATTATTAGTAACATTGAATAATTTAAAGCGTATCACTAAAACTGGCCAATACAATGAATAAAATCCAGTTTGAGGAGCTTCCCCCTTGGATTCTTTTTGACTGAAGTTAAAAAGAAAAAAAATCACAACCTGGTGGCCTTTCTAAATATCACATAAATTAGGCTAAAACATGATTTTATCAGCTTATAAATTTTTTTCCTGATCTTCTTGTGTCATTCAGCTCAACGGAGACTCTCAGGCAAAAGTACAGCGGATTCTACGGTTGATTTCTGGTGGCGGGTTGTCCATAACTGGGTCGCATATCTTGTGTGGAGACTTCCTCTTCAGCGGTCACACAGTTGTGCTGACACTTACTTATTTGTTCATCAAAGAATGTAAGTAATAACTCATTCCTGGTTTATTGATTGTTGTAGTGGGTGGGATCCCTAAGCCCTGAAATTGATGAGTCCTTATTCTATTGGAATGGATAGCTATTGAAAGAGATGTGTGTGTGTGTGTGTGTGTGTGTGTGTGCGCGCGCGTGTGTGTGTGTGTGTGTGTGTGTGTTTAAATCATTTCAACCAGTCGTATGTGATTTGAACACTGAAGGAAGGCTTAAAGCTTGGCCCTGGCTTCTTGCTAACATTTAGGATGCCTCCAAAATGTCTCCCTCCTTGGTTCGTACTTCTTAAGGTATGAAAAGCTATTTTAATGTTGAAACAATGAAGAATCATTGTTAAGGTTACTGCAAAAAAGAATCAGTGTGCTCCAGAGCCAAATGGGAAGGACTTTTGAATGAAATTTCCATTGTATGGAACATCCATTCCATCATCCCAAATACTCTGGTTAATATTTTCCCCTTTTTAAACCTTTTTTAATGTTTCCTTATCCCACTTTATTCTAATTTCGTCACTTCCAGTAGCTTTCTGTGCTTTAATATGCATCTTCATGAAACAGTTTGCCAATACTAAACCATTTTCTTCTTAGAAAGCAACATGGAGATGAGAATGTGAAATATCTCCCCATATTTATATGCTTAATTCCCATTATACAAAATTCTTGTGTATTCCAGTGGCATTTTTTTTTTTTTGGCTGGAATAACGTCTTGTTCATTGTGAAGGAGGTTGTATTTGGTTTTAGCTGCCTAGCAGACTTCTGAGGCTTTGTATATTTGGGCCCATTATCTCAAAATCCTTTTGAAGTGATGCTTCTCCCTCCATTTTTACCAAGCTTGGTCGGTATTAACCTTCATCTTTAGTTCCAAGATACCCTAACCCCATGCCATTGTTCTTTTAGCGGCTTATCTCAATTTTCTTCACTTGCAGAGCGTATCATGGAGGTCTTTGGGCAGAGACCAGGGGAAGGAGGTCCTTCCCCTCTGTCCTCCTTGGTTAATCCCCTTCTCTCCCTTCTTCTCTTAGTCTGTCATTAATCCAAACAGGTTTAGACCCATCAGGGTTTATCTTCCAGTGGTGCAGAAGTGAATTCTTGCTCCATAGACTGCCTGGGGTTATAGGTTTTAATTCTGCTTTGAGGTCAATATGACAAAGAGAGGAGAGGCTCTGTAGTAGATGAGGTCTTCTTTTTTTCGGTGACAATTGTATATCTTCTGAATTGTTTACTTTCCAAATGCTACACACAAGCTTTGAGTTAGGAGAGCAGCCTGTGAAGCGTTCGGCCTTTGTCATACTGTCTGACTTGAAGGCAGAGGGCCTTCTGCACCTTGCCCCATCGTTCTGTTCTTACACGGTTGGAGAGGGGTGGTGGAGGGGAGGAACCTAGCTCTGTCTGTGCGCCAATAACTCCCCCTTAAATTTCAATCTTCTGAAATTTCTCATTTCTAATACCTAGTTACAGGTTCTGGGTGGTGGGCAGAGCGATTTATGTTGTTTATAGCACTCACTCTTTTGCTGTGGAAAGTTCAGCAAAAACTGATCTGTGTAAGATCAGTCATTTTCCAGTCCAGAGGTTCATTTGGGTTGTAGGATCTTCTCTCTAATCTGCAGATCCTAAAAGCTTATAGAAGAAGAGGAGGAGGATGGGCTTCCCTGGTGGCGCAGTGGTTGAGAGTCCGCCTGCCGATGCAGGGGATGCGGGTTCGTGTCCCAGTCCGGGAGGATCCCACATGCTGCGGAGCGGCTGGGCCCATGAGCCATGGCCGCTGAGCCTGCGCGTCCGGAGCCTGTGCTCCGCAACGGGAGAGGCCACAACAGTGAGAGGCCCGCATACCGCAAAAAAAAAAAAAAAAAAAAAAAAAAAAAAGGAAGAGCAGGATGAGGCCGGGAGGAATTACATGTTAGAGTGAAGCTACTGTGGGTGGAAAACATAAGGTAATGAAGAGAAAACATCCCAGGAAACTGAGAGTCAGTTTCATAAAATAATTGAAGACCAAGTGATACTACCAATAACAGCAAATAGACATAGTACTCTTTTTTCTGTGCCAGGCACTATTCCAAGGCCTTGATGCAAATTAACTCGTTTAATCCTTGTAGCTACCTCATGAGGGAAACACTGTTTTTCCCCATTTTGCAGAGGAAACTTAAGCATAAAGAAAGGGAATGAATTAAGCCACAGTCCACAGTTAGTAATTGGAGGATGGGGTATTCAAACTCAAGCAGGCTGACTCCAGAGGGTACACTACCAATTTCTTGGCTCTGTTTAGAATTTTTGGAAACCCAAGCTGTCTGATCTTATAGAATTGCTAAGAAATAGCCTGGATGTATTGCTCATTGTTGTACTTTCACCTCAGAGCAATAGCAGGGCAACTCTGTGTTTATTTCTATGCTTTAATAAAGGCTGATACAGTATGTAGAGACATTTTCTTCCCCACGTATGATTTGAGCTTGAGGTTGTTTCAATTGTATAAATCTACGTACAGCAAGGAAAGAATTACATTCTGCTTTTTCCTTTCTATTTTTTTAAAATAGATCTTTATTGGAGTATAATTGCTTCACAATACTGTGTTCGTTTCTGTTGTACGACAAAGTGAATCAGCCATATGCATACATATATCCCCATTATCTCCGTCCCTCTTGCGTCTCCCTCCCACCCTCCCTATCCCACCCCTCTAGGTGGTCACAAAGCACGGAGCTGATCTCCCTGTGCTATGCAGCTGCTTCCCACTAGCTATCTGTTTTCCATTTGGTAGTGTATATATGTCAATGCTACTCTCACTTTCTCCAAGTTTTGGTGAGAAACAAAAGGGCAAATCTGTAATGCTTGATACAAACCCAACTTTAGAGTCAGTTCTGTACAGAAACTGGGCATTCCATGTTTACGCCCGTTTCCTATGCAATTAGGAAAAACAGTTACCTTCTAAATTATACCATGTGTTATTGCTCTGAGTAAGCATTGGTTCCAGTGGTTTCTTTGAACATTCTGCTTCTAGAATTAGATGCATCATTTGTATATTTTTTGCTTTCCTGCCTTTTGATCATTTTGGACTCTCCCTGTTTACTCAGTTGTTACAAGCAGATTTGAATTTAGTCATGAGAGTAGTTGAAAACGTGGGACCAGAATCATTTTGTGGATTAGCAAGAGAGGGTCTTACACAGGTGTGCAAATATTATCTTTGGGACTTAGGTTCCTTATAAAATTAGCCTGGAGAAATCAATGTAGCTCTTAGAACCAAATGTCTTGCTAGTCAAGGAAACTACTTTTTCTTTTTTCTTTTTTTTTTTTTTTTACCTTGCTACTACACAAAGTCTATTGTCTCTGTTATTCATTGACAACTAGGGCTAGGATCCCACACAGACAGTGGAGTTCATTAATAATTGTATCGTCATCTCTCAGCTCAAGGTTATCCCTGTGGGTAGAATGAGAGACCAGAGAGGATTACCATTTTGCCATTTCTATTTCAAAATAGTTTATATTAAATCTTTTCTTTGGGCCAGCCAGTGTTCTCACTTAATGAGCAGTGATCCCAGTGTGGTAGCTCAAAGAGAATACATTTTTATATGCTAGGAGAGCAGTGCTAGGGCATCTGGCCATTCCTGAAACCTCATTTTCAATTCCACGAGTAGTAAAATGGGCCACCTCTTTACTCCCTACCTACTTCAGCTTTGCTTCTTGTGGATAAACAAATACAAAATAGTTCTGCTTTGCTCAGACATTTTGGACTTTTAAGGTAAATACCAGATGACCTGTTAGGAAGGGAAGCAGGGCTGATGTGAGGCTTCAGGGAGGGGTGAGGTCTGTGGTGCTGGAGAATGCATATTTAGTGAAATCTCCAGATTTCTGAATGTTACTTCAATTTTTAACATTCAGATCCTAACAGAACAGTTATAGGGATTGGATCTGGCCCCCCAGGCTACAGAAGTAAGGCCTCTCCTAGCTATAAAATGCCCGGATTTCCTGAGTTATCTGCTAGAACCTCGTGGCAGAATGAACCAAGCAAGAGTTGGAAATAATGAGCTGCACATTCAGAAATAGGAAATCAGACTTTCAAATGCAAATACGGGTTTATTATCTTACTGTTCCACGTAGGACTAAAAGAACAACAGCTATTTAATTTTTATTTGAACCATGTTTGATTTGATGTGTCATGTAAAGTTCTGGAAATGGATCTTTTTGCTATTCAACCATTCTTCCACACTTGAAAGTAAATATCACTATAAATATAAACACAGTTAAATATGAAATAAATTTTAGTTTATTCAGTTATTATCTTTGTGAGCTAATAAAGCTTTAAAATAGAAAAAAAGGGGGCTTCCCTGGTGGCGCAGTGGTTGAGAGTCCGCCTGCCGATGCAGGAGACGCGGGTTCGTGCCCCGGTCCGGGAGGATCCCACATGCCGCAGGGCGGCTGGGCCCGTGAGCCATGGCCGCTGAGCCTACGCGTCCGGAGCCTGTGCTCCGCAACGGGAGAGGCCACAACAGTGAGAGGCCCGCGTAACGCAAAAAAAAAAAAAAAAAAAAAAAGAAAAAAGGAAACAGTTATTCAAAGAAAAGAAAAGTTATTAGAGATGAGCACTGGTTCCAGTTACACCTGTGTCATTACCACCTGTGTGGGAAGGCTGGGAGGCATGCAATCATGTTTAACCTGCCGAGCGCTTTAGGTTCTCTCTTATAGCTGATCAGTGTCATGAACTTAGTGCCCTCTCTAGGTAAGGCTCAAACTCATAAGTGAATAGTCAAGAATCCCAAGCTTTACATAGGGAGTGTCTTATAGTTGCTATTGGCAATAACAGTATAAAATTGCTGAGAATCAAAATATTGCTAGCCACAAATACCATTTTTCTTCCCCTGCAGAAATCAAAGTAAGTTTATATATAAGACCTAAAATTACTCTTGCTTTCTCATTCCCTCCTCCACCCCACCGCCCCTTTTTCATAGACAACGAGCCTTTCTTTTTCTTTTTTTGGCCACACAGCACGGCTCATGGGATCTGAGTTCCCTGACCAGGGATTAAACCCAGCCACAGCAGTGCAAGTACTGAGTCCTAACCCCTGGACCATCAGGGAGTTCCTGACAACTATCCTTTCTTTTCACTCTACTGTTTCTCTTTCCAGTGGGGTCCCTAACAGGAGCCAGTATGAGCCAATTCCAACCTAATGTGAAATATTTCTGTTCTCTTCCTAATTATTAAACACTGTGGGTAAGACCTAGAGTATCTAGTGTTACCAGCCGCCCCAGGGAATTACTATTAGACCTGTTACCAACAGCGCTCCATCTCCCCCTCCCCGCCGCCGCCCGCCCCGGCAACCGGAGCAAATCCTGGCCAGTTCACAGGGATTCATTTTGGATTATCCATTTTCTCCTTCAGTGACTTCCTGGACTTAGACTTTTCTCAGGTCATTAGGATAGACTGTCATCATTCAGTCCACCTCTGGGAATCCTATTAACTATTAATTTTTCTGCTGTCCAGATTCACCTCGTCACTTCTGGTGGTATCATTTGATCTGCTGGCTGCTGAGCGCTGCTGGGATCATCTGCATTCTTGTAGCACACGAACACTATACTGTCGATGTGATCGTTGCTTATTATATCACAACACGGCTCTTTTGGTGGTACCATTCCATGGCCAATGAAAAGGTGAGAGCAGTGAAATTATCCTTGGATGATTTCTTTTCTTTAAATGCAGTGGACCCCTTTTCACACAGCGGAGTTTCCAGTAGCTTAATGGGAATAACTGCTGTTGCCGCCTAAACGTGTGGTTTAGGTCAATTCACTTAAACTTATATGCTCAACCTTATGAGCTCTCCTTTCACTCTTCCATCTTCCTTGACCCACAGATCTGACCACTGACATATCCTGAAAATTTTTCCTCCTGGAGAGCTAGCTCTCCCACCCATTCTTGGGTCTCCAGTCTTACTGGAATTGCAGATAGAAGATTCGCCTGAGAACTTCTCTGGTGGTCCAGTGGTTACGACTCCGCGCTTCCAATGCAGGTGGCACAGGCTCAGTCTCTGGTTGGGGAACTAAGATCGCACATGCCACAGGGCACAGCCAAACAACAAAAAAAAAAAAAAAAAAAAAAAAAAAAAAAGAAGATTCACCTGAGCCACAGAGAGGGAAGGAGTGGAGGGTGTTGGAAGTGTGGCCAGAGTCCTGTCAGAGTTAGGGGAAAGGAGCAAAGACAAGCATTGCCTTGCGACCGGATTCTACTGCTTTCCCTCTTCAGTTACAGCAAATGACAGTTTAATTAAGAAACAAATTAGGATGCAAATTGTGAAAAATATGTCTCATTTTACTTTTTTTCTACCTTTTACAGAACTTGAAGGTCTCTTCACAGACTAATTTCTTGTCTCGAGCATGGTGGTTCCCCATCTTTTATTTTTTTGAGAAAAACGTACAAGGCTCAATTCCTTGCTGCTTCTCCTGGCCACTGTCCTGGCCTCCTGGCTGCTTTAAATCGTCTTGCAAGAAGTATTCACGGGTTCAGAAGATCGGTGAAGATAATGAAAAATCTACCTGAGGAGCAAAACAAAAGGCATCAGCTCTTAGACCAAAAGAGTTATCGCTGTAACCAAAGGTATAGTTTTGTTTTTGTTTTTATTTTAGGAGAACTGATTGCTAGATGAAGCAGACCAAATTTTGTGCAAATGATTAGAAAGATGAACGAAGTATTACCCTTTGACTGGTTTTTTATTCATCCTGAGAAAGTTATATTCTCCTGCAGCTCTTCATTCATTGGTCACAAGCCCTCAAACTGGGATTTTACTAATGAGCTTGTTACGGAGGTGCCAGAGAACATACTGTTCCTTCCCTCATTCTTTCTCCACTAAAGCTCTCCACTTCAGAATTTTTTTCAGGATTTTTTTTTCCCTCCAAGTTCAAAAGAATTTGTTAATGTTTTAAATAAAAATCTGATATATATACGGCCACTGTGTAAATAGAATCACCTAATGTTGAGAGTGATTTTTAGCATTAGGCTTATCAGCGAGGGGGAGATCCATGGGTTGTGAGTGAACTTCGGGTGAACTTTGTTTCTGCTCTGTCAAGGGGAAGGTCAGGGTCAGGTCTGGGAATATGCGCTGCTGCTACCACCCAATGTATTATATCACTTTCACTTTATTTTTTTTTTAACTGATAATTTTATAACTTAAAAAAAATGAACTAAGTAAATATCAAAGTATTTGACACACCCCACAGATTTTACATGTGTGTAAATATTTCATTTTAAGATCTCTATGACAGATATACAGGAGACATGGGGCTGTTTATGCTAACGAGGAGTCCTGCTGTCCACCTGGTAACTTTGCACCTGTACCCCCAGAGCAGTCAACAGTGTAGCACAGGCTGAACACACATAGCTGTATGAACTGATGCTCATGTCCTTGTGGGGAACAAGCCTGTGTTTCTCTCCCAGGTCACGCCCTGTGTGAGATCTGTTTTAGAGCTGCAAATTGGAACTCAGAAATACAGTTGGTCACATTTCACTGAAAACCATTTCTTCCTAGTGACATTGTGCTTTATGGAAAAACCAAGATGGAATCCAAAAGTTTAATGCATCCTTGCCTTTTAGCAAGAGACTCCATTTCTTACGTACTGGTCCTAGGGACACATACCACAATTGAGTAATTTTACTTTGACCCTAAAATTATACCACGGTGCTGCACTATAATCTACGGTTGGAATTGGTGTGTTAGTCGGTTACAGCTACTCAATAAAGGGGGATAATAGTTTCTAAAGTTCTTTCAGGTAATGCAAAAAAAAAGAAAAGATGGATTTTAAAAATCTGACCAGATGTAGTGCATTATTTAATGCTGTTGAATCTTTTGGATAATTCTTGGCTTAATTTCTTTAGACTTCTAGTAACCTTAGGAAAAAATTTAAGGTCACAAAGGCATCAACACTAGTCAGGGAGTGGAGAGGCCATGTGGGCTGGTAGGAGGCAGTTACATTTATACTGAAGGTGAAAATTTTTCCCCACTTAGAATGAAAAACATCCCTAAATTTGTCATTGTAAACAAGTCGGCCTTGATTTGGTACACAAAATTGACCTTTAAATTGTTGGAGAGAAGCACAATACAGATCTGTCCAGAAGGGTCATCATCCTTTGGTGCTAAAATTCTGTATATGTTTTCAGTATGGCTCTTTCTCTGTGTAAAAAAGAAACACTAAAAGTTGAATTCAAAGGCAGAAAGACAGACTAATCTGGTTATTTACAACAAGAATTGAAACCCTAAACATCCTTGGCAGGCTTTGGAATGTAAGAAGTTTTTCTGGTATTGATTATTAAGTAAGTCAGTAAGAAACATATGTGTAGCTTACCTGCTGTGTTTAGTTATATTTCTACATAATTTTCACTTATTTTCATTTGTTAAATATTGACATCTGCGATAAGACAATGTGTTCTACTTGAAAACACTGATTTTAAATTTCTGCTGTCTAATTGTGAGGAAAAGTATCTGATACGGAAGCCTGGGTTTTGCTCTCCTAACACTGGTATATTGCTTGAGCCTCGAATTCAAATAAAACAACCTGATGTACCTTAGAGCCTTATTCAGCTGCATCTTAGATAACCCACTCTTCAAATTAAGTAAGGAAAGGTATTTAAGCTTTAAAAATCGTGGAGATCCTTGAAAACAGTATAAAACTTGCATTTTAGTCAAATAATCCTGTTTCTGTTTTGTTTTTTCACAACCTTTTAAAGAACTTTAAAAACATCTATGACCCCATTTGTGGACACTACTGCTCCCGTGTTCTTTACATGTATATGTCATAGCTCTCTAATAAATGCTGTGGAAGCATGTGCTATGAAAATAAGGGGGGTAGGGAATATCAAAGTTTCAAGATGGGAAAATAAGAGAAATAACAAAACCCATTTACATTTAGGAAAGCAAACTTCAGTTTCAACCCAACATGCCACTGTGGGATATAAAACATAAACAATTACTAGACTTACTGTGGTGATCATTTCACAATATATACAAGTAAATCATTATGTTGTATACCTAAAATTAATATAATGTTATATGTCAATTATACCTTGATTAAAAAATCATAATTATGAGCTTGCCTTTTGAAACAATAAATTTTTGGAACTCCTTTTCCTTGCTAATCAATCTATAAGATCTTATCCATTATCCTTGTTTTTGTAAGCCAGTGCTCCTGTTTGAAGCTTTTTCTGTGATTAAGTCCTTGGTGCAGTATTTCTGTAATAATTCCTGTAAATGATGCCACATTTTTTTCTAAATTCTTTCAAATGAAAATAAATTCTTTCCAGATTCTATTTTTTTGATCTCCTCCACTAACTCTGAAAATAAAGCCTTCTTACCTACTCGGTTCCACCCAAAGTAATTTAGAATTTGTTATTTAATTTACTGGCATCTTGGGAAACAAGTTTTGCTGTGGAAGGAAGGTGGTTGTGAGTGTGCCCGAGTTTCTAGTCTTGGTTGATGGATGACATTGCAAAGGTTCTTTGCTGTATAGCAGTGCCCCCTTGTGGAAATACCTTATATGACTTGGAACACAAATGCCACTTTTTTTTTTTTTGTTTTTTTTGCGGTACGCGGGCTTCCCACTGTTGTGGCCTCTCCCGCTGCGGAGCACAGGCTCCGGACGCGCAGGCTCAGAGGCCATGGCTCACGGGCCCAGCCGCTCCGCGGCATGTGCGCTCTTCCCGGACCGGGGCACGAACCTGTGTCCCCTGCATCGGCAGGCAGACTCTCAACCACTGCGCCACCAGGGAAGCCCCAAATGCCACTTTTTAAAGTGTATTTTCGAGTTTTGAAAGGCATTTTTAAAATTATTTTTGTCAATAATCTGAAAGCATCATGCAAAAGGATAATTATTTTAAAGGCATTTAAAACCTTTCCCAAAGGGAAAATGTGCTTAGATCACAGGGGGTTGAAATTCTAATCTTTTGTAAGTTTGATCAAAGAAAACTTGCGGACGGACCGTTTTTTACCTCTCACCATCACAATCATTAATGTCTCCCTTTATAACTGCCTATACTTTGTTTACTTTGAAACATCAGGTTGGCTGTCTTTCTTATGTGGTTTTTTTTTTTTTACATGCTAGAACTCATGCAGTTTCTTTTTCAGTCGAGAGTTCACATCTTGTTCCTTGAATATTTTGAACATTTCTTTTAAAATTCTTTTATAAAATTTTTTTGTTTTGCACTGTAAAACTGATTAAAAGTTGAAGCTGGTCTTAACACACTCACTTCTGTAGTGTAAGGAAGTATGAGAAGGAATTTCTTAATAACTGAGTTTACGTGGTTAAATCAAGCATATCATAGTTAATATGCCCTGTGTTAAAGGCTGTTCTATTTGTATGTATAGAGTCCTTTTATTTAATGTCATTGTGTTGCAATAATTTAACTCCTTTGACTTACTTGCTAAAAATATTTCTTCTATTAAGAAGTGCTCTTGACTTCAATACCTAAACACTGAAAATCATGTCAAAAGGTACCCAAAGATGTTTTTATACAGATACACACCTTATAAGTTGTGATTTATTTTATGATTCATTTATCTAAATATGCTGTGTTCTGAATGAATCATGAATGAGAATAGTTCTTTATTGTGGAATTATTTAAATCTGTCCTTTAAAAGAAAAAGAAGAAACTATAAACATATAAGTTAATCTAGTTGCCAAGTTGGAATTCATTATTTAATTTACCTCCTATGCAATGATTAATGCTGCAAAATGTATGGTTATGTTAGAGTATATTCACAAAAGAAATATTATTACAGGGTTTGAGAGGTAGCCAATTACATCTTTTAGAAATTTACTGTACTGTTTCAATGTGTTAAGTGCCTTGTTGTGAAGTAAAATTTTAAGTCTAGAATTCATTATTTTCCTGACATATATTTTTCATTATCATATATACTGTATATTATTGTAATAGTTTTATTAAATGCTTAAGTTTTAATTAAATATGTAAATTTCAGAACCTCTTTTCCCCTCCCCACCAGTACCTTAATCATTGGTCTATCATATGGGATTTGAATTCAGGTTCTTTTTTTAAAAGGGGAAAATTATCTTAGTTTAGAAATATGTTTCCCATGCTTGTGCATTTGTGTTTATACAAACATTTCAGGAGGAATTTAAGAGTGTAACTATAGTTTGTACTTCAAAATGCCATTTTACATTTACATTTTAAGTGCCTAATTGTTAGTTAAAACTAATTTATGTTTCTATTCTAAAGAGAATGTGTCTACTTGGTTTCTAATCTCTTTGGCTTTGCTTAAAAAAAATAAAAGAGCAAGGGCCTATACTTTGTATTTACCCAATAAACCACCATGACATCAACAGTCTTTTCAAAATTAGTATTACTGTTTTTTTTAATTAATAAAACTGTTTTCGTTAAAGATTTGTAAAAAAATATTTAGTTTTAAATAGTTACTAAAACCACAAGAGGGTTATTTTCTTCAAGCACTGTTTTTTAAATAAGCGGATAACCTTCAATTAATGGCACACTAAATAAACTGGAGTGTGTTATTTTACCCGCCCTTGGATTTAAGGTGAGAAATAATTCACAGCAATATAAGGCCACTCATGAGGAAGGATAAAGTCAGTTACGAGTCCCATGATTCTCATTCTCATTGTTCACAGAGGGGCAAATATCATTAAGTCTTCAAGGAAAGCATTCTCTCTGTCACTCAGTTGTGAAAGAAATGTCATCCTCTTCCTTCACAAAGGGGCTCCAGGGTATGTCCTCAACCAGGCTTTAGTAGTCATTGCAGCAGTAGATCGCTGTAAGTTGTTTCTGGACCCCCTGAGAGAAAATGAAAGCATGACCCTCAAAGACAAATTTAGTAAAAGAAACTCAGTGCGATGAGGGGACAAGGATAAGATAATATGGTTCAAAGATCAAGTTGGTGGATAATCCAAGTTTTTTTGGATTATCTGGAAATGATAGAG